GGTGAGAAAGGCTAAGGAAGATACCGCCGAGCATCAGGGAGGGGAGGGCTCCAGAAGCTGAAATCGAGACAGAAGGAGCCCAACAGCCAAACAGCAGAGGCCGTAGGGGCAGCTCTGCGGCCTTGGTCCATCCGGGAGTGACCCCCAGGACGCAGCAGGCCTCTCCTGACCGCCCGCTGCTCCCCTCAGCAGTGCACTTTGTCAGTCGGCCTGTCCTGCTCCCCACTCTGGCTCTTACAGCGCCTTCACACCTCTGGCCCGCACCCCAGTTCTGTATGCATAAAGAAATAAATATAAAAAAAAAAATTAAAAAGTATCACCAAAGGCAGGAATAGGAGAACAGGGCCCCGGCCTGCAGGGACACTGGCCCAGGGTCTGGTCATGGGTCCAGGCTCGGCAGAGGTCACAGGGGCGGGGTGCCGTCCTCAGGGAGACCCCGAAGCAGGAGCACCACCCAGGACCTAACCTACCAACACCGCCCAGCCCCCACTGTGCAGGGGAAAGAGGCGCCAAGTTCTGCAGAAACGGACCTGAATCCAGACCCCAGAACTGGTGGGGCCAGGGTGGAGACAGAGACCAGGCACCTGGGAGGTCTGTGCAGCCCCGAGAGGGCCGGCCAGGCCCGGGGAGCCGTCTGTTCACACCGTCCTCGCTCCTTCTGCTGCCTGTTTCCAACACTCACATTTTCCGGCTACACACCCCGGGGCTGGGCAGCGGGATGCCTGGGTCTTGGCCCAGAGGAGGACTTTGGCTTGGGACACGCAGGGACAGGCTAGGTGAGAGGACTGGACAGCCAGCGGGGAAGGTGGAGCGGCTGAAGTGGGGTGGGGGCGGCCCTGGCCCCTCTTCCCTTCCCAGCACGAATTCTATGTTTTGAAAGAGTTTACCTGCTGACTTGCATTTAGTAAGGAATAATGCATTCCCCTTTCTATCTGTTATCAACGAGAAGTTAGGACAAGAAGACATCCATAGCTGCCAATCAGAGCTTCTGACCAGCAGGAGATAACCAGGTTCCTCGGGAGAGTTGATAGAATTCCAGCCCAAAGCAAACGTTTTAATTAGCTCAGGCTGCCTTATCCGTAAATGCATGGCTTCCGGGAGGCTGGAGATAGGAACGTGGCCCAAGGACCCCCCATGACTGCCCTCTTGGGCCTCTGGGAGGGCCCCGCAGCTGCAGGATTGGAAGCAGGAACCCGGAAGTGGGACACCGGAGAGGCTCGCCAGCCCCGCGCACGTGGGACTGATGGGTCGAGGGCAGCTGGTGGGAGATCCAGGCCTCCTGGGCACCCAGCCACAGTGCTTGCTCCCGCGGGACGCAGCTTGCGAGGCCTGGGGCACTCCAAGTGTCTTGAAGCCGCCACAGCCGTAGCTGGGCCCCACGTCTGCCCAGGCGTGTCGGGGAGCCGGGTCCCTTGCCACAGCCCTGTGCTCTCCTGGAAACAGGATATCGGAGCTCCGGGAGACTTCGCGATTCCTATTCCATGTCTTCACCAGAGCAAGCAAAGGGTATCCCAAGTTCACCCTGAACGAGTGCCTGGCCCAACCCCAGTGCCTGGCCCTGAGGCTTTTCACTGCCTGCTGCACCCCAGCGGCCCAGTGCCAGCTAAGATCTCAGCTGCCCTGCGAAGGGGACCTGGCCCTCCGCTCTCTCCACCCCGCCTGGGACAGTGTAGCCTCCACTCACCCCCGGGTCTCACCCACTGGGCCTGGGACTAACTTCAGAGTAGCCGCCGAAATGAGAGGGGTGGGTGGGAGACAAACGGAGAAGTGAGAGGCCGGAAGCCACAGGCAGTAAACATTTCCTGTCCCTGGTAACTAAGGCTGGCACCCCACCCCCATCTCTGCAGGAACTCTCGCCCTCCAGGCCC